AGTTTATTCATTCATTTTAGTTATTATTTCCTTCTTATGGTTGATACTGTGTTTTATGTTACTTATAACTCAACCTGTAATGCCCGATATCTTAATGTAACGTTTTTTGCCATATTTTGTTTGTAAATGTTTTCAATTAAAAAACAAACAAACAAACAAAAAAACACTGTCTTCCTGCTACATAAGCAGACACAAAGCATTGTGGGAAATCAGAACCCTGACCGAAAGCAACAGTCAGCAAGGATGTATACCTTCTCAATAAGTGTGTACATCTGGGAGGGGTGCTGTTAGATCATGTGTGTTGTGATTAATTGACAGCCCTACTTTCTGCTGTTCAAGATAATGATGACTGGTAGATAAATAGTTACTAGCGGTACTGCATTTTAATGTTAGAAAGCGCAAATTTGCTTATGAATTATAAAAATTAGTAAGACTGCTAAAGCGCAAATGAAATATTCAGGTCCGCAAGTAGCGGATTTGCGCTTTAGCGGGCTGGTGCCCACCACTGATGAAATGCTATCGATAAAAAACAAGGCTTCAACACTGTTAACATATCTCTGTGGTATATTAAATCAAAACACATCTCAAACAGCATGTCTAGGGGATGACTCAGCTACTATCACATCAAATTAAACTCAGTGTTGGCAAAACTGCCCAAAGTGTAGCTACTGTATTTTTTTGTGTTGATTAATGTAAATTAACTCTGGTAACCATCTTCAATTGGAGTGACTCCAGAAGTTAATCATTTGTAGACCAACATTAACTTCTTGAAAGTTCTGTTTTTAGAGGATTTATTTAGTGGCTCAGGAGATTTTTTTGATTTATCTAAGCAAATTTAAAAAATCATTCTATCAGTCTATCACTGGGATAATTTTATAGATATTGGGTCTCATGCAAGAACATCTTCCTATTCTTATCCTAAATTTCTCTTACTTTTGTTCGTACAAAGGGTTCGTACGAACATGTCACGTCAGATTCAACAAACTCTTCTATCTTCAGGAAACGTGCGTAAATGAGCTGCGTAAATTCCACCTGTTCTATCCAGCTGCTCGTGCACGCGAGAGGAGATTAGCATAGTTACCACCCCAAAAACACCATATAAGGCTATGTTTCCTGCCTCAGATACAAGGAAGTGTTCATTCATGAAAAATGACAGCGAAAACTAAAATGAAGAACTTTACGAGTTCAGAGATTGAAGTCCGTCTGTCAGAGATCCAGAAAAGAAAATCTATCATTTTTAGCAGGTCAGCTGTGGAATAAAAAGAGCTGCTAAAAGTATAAACAACTGTGTTAAATCATTTTCATTTATTCAGAAGCCACACCGTTGCGCATCGAACTAACTAATGAAATATAAAGTTATTAGGGAAGAAAACCCGTCTGGATAACAGCAGACTGACTGCTCGTAAAATATACGACAGGTCTGGACCACTCGTYAATTTTGTTCYTATCTGAAAAAAATCMTAGAATACGAAAACATTGGTGAATGCCACAAATTCTCCTAAATCACTCGTACGCACAACTTAAGAACAAATCTGTGCGTACGAACGGTTCTTGCATGAGGCCCATTGAGCCTAAGTTTGGTCTGGTAGCAGCTGAGGGTCATCCCAAACACACACTCAGAGGTCCAACAAACGTACACAAGATCTTGGCATAAAACTTGGATTGCAAGTTGGATTAATGTTATGAATGTATTACATTTTTTTTACAGCCTTCTTTGGTGCACACATGAACGCACTGATCCACGTCTTGATGTATTTGTATTACGGCTTGGCCTCCTGCGGACCTAAAATCCAAAAATACCTGTGGTGGAAGAAGTACCTGACCATCATCCAGATGGTGAGTAATCAAATACTAAAATGTCTTACCGTCCCGCAGTACATGAAGGTAACAGTTTCTCTGTTTTGTTGTGTCTCAGATTCAGTTCCACATCACCATCGGCCACACCGCCCTCTCCCTCTACGTCAACTGCGACTTCCCCCACTGGATGCACTACTCCCTCATCTGCTATGCCATCACCTTCATCGTCTTGTTCGGCAACTTCTACTACCAGACTTATCGTCGCCAGCAGCCTGCGCGGCGCGATGCCTCCTCTTCCTCCAAGGCGGCGAAGGCCCTGTCCAACGGCAACCTGAACGGCTTCAACAAAGCTGCGAACGGAGCGACGCTGATGGGGAGCAAAGAGGAGAAGCCCCAGGAGAACTCTGGGAGGAGAAAGAGGAAAGGACGTGCCAAAAGAGATTAGAGGAAGAGGATGGGGGTGGGGGGAGGAGACAGGTGAGGTGGTGACCTTACTTTGGCTTCTAAGTTGCTAAAACACGACAGACTTCATTTGAGGACGAATTAACTGCATGGGTGTGTTCGAGTAAGGTTGATTTCTTTGAGCCATGATCTGAGTTGTTGTAGATAAAGTACTAGACTGATCTTTATTGAGAGGAAGTTGATTTGTTAGCAGTAAGATGACCATTCTCACCAATTATCCACGACAAAGTAGTAGAATTTGGAATAGATTGTAGTATTCCTGCTCCTTATTGAGATGCCAAGCGTCTGGTACCAACACAAGATGGGGGGATATGTAGCGACAAAACCCCGAGGCTGAACATGAAACAGACCGGCTTGTTTACTGCTGTAACCAACAAGCAATGCTGGATGGAGACAGGAATACTGAATTTACACAAACGTGATGTTCTCCTTGATGTAAAAATGAAAATAATGAACGCTATAATTTCATTTCAGCCAAGCTTGTTTAACTTTAAGTCTACAGGCTCTTTTACTGGCTTTTCTGTGTTTGATTGTACAGTATTTTATTTGCTTTAGAACAAAAACCTCTCACTACTGAGCCACCATGCGATATCACACAGTTGTAGTCTAAATATGGACAATAATAAACCAATATCAAGAGATAATACATAAAAAAAATTATGATTTTGTTCCATCGACATTATAAGATGGAATATTGATCAGCTGCAGCTCAAATGGGGTCAGTATGCTTATCGTTTTGTTTGTATATAACTCATTTTGTATATCCATACCTGTTTGTCATGTGATGAAGTGTAACAAATATCCAGAGAAATGATGGATCTGATGGTATTTTGTGTTTTGTCCCTCTGACAGAAGAGATTTGTTGTTGCAGGTGTTTACTTGTCTTTTCTAGCATATCCTCAATGAACTTGTCTGTCTCAGATGCTGGAGAAAACAGATGTTTTTGGGTTTCAGATTTCCTTTTTTTCTTTGTCTTTATAAAAAAACAGCAACTGCAGAGCCAGCAGCGTATATCCACTTATTGTTAACATCATTTAGCACTGTTTTCTTAAAGAACACACCTTTACGTTTTCAAAGAAATGTCTTTCTGCAGCTTTTATGCCCTGAACTGACTTGAATGTGATTTTATCTGATTTAGAGGGGAAATGGAAAGGGCACTCGATTCAAAAAGATACACATGAGGTGACAGTGTATCTTATGCTACTGTAAAGGATCTGGTTGTTGTGCCTGTAACATACAAGTTAGAGATTATCATTCAGCTACGAATCAGCAAATCCTGCTTTGTGACAGCAACCAACCGATGTATTTTATTGTTATTTATTGATTATTATTAATTATTGTTATGTAAGTACAAATTTTCATCTAGCTGAAAGTGCTTCTCTTTGTATTTGTTTTATTTTTGTGATGTACATAATTCATTGTGATATTTTGTACTCCGCACATGTTAGTGTTGTATGTCCACCACATTTCTGCATTTTATTTTATTTGTTTTTTTGTATCATGTCTTTAAACTTTCCTCCGAATAAAACAATCTGAATGCCTGGACAACTTCTATAAGTGTCTGCATTTTAATGATGTACTTTTATTGAGAATTTCAGATATTGTCTGAAGTGTGCTGTAAAACTGAGGATTGTGAATTTGCCCATTTTCAACACTAGATGGCGCCAAAATAACACTGAGGCAAGGAGGTTCCACTTGCTTTGATCAAAGTCATCATTTCACTCATAAATTATAAGGGTTTTTAAGCTTCATATGAAAAGATATCCTAATCGTTTCACTTCTTTAATCTATGTGAGCAAAAATATCAGTTTATCAAGGACCAATAAAAAGTCCTATTTCACTCCGTGATGGTTGCTTTTAAAGCGTTATTGAAAAAAGGGTTTAAATGTTTTTTTCTTTCAAATGATTTCCACTTGTGTATCAAATGAAATACCATATCAATATTTTACAACAACAATGTTTAATGCACTGCGTGAAATCAATGTAGATGAAAGGTAATTGGGTTTGATTAATTTAAAAGGAAAATCTAATTTTTCCGTCTGCATCTTTAGTAAATTCTCTTTCTGTTTTGCTGATTCTAGACAAAGGTTTCTATGGTTACTTTACACACCAGCTGCCTGACAGACCCCACCTCACATCCTGCTAAACCACTCCCTGCACCATCCCCCCATCTCCCCTTCCTCCAGCTTCTTCTTCAACCTGCTGGGGCCCACAAAGCAAAGGAAGACAGACTTTCTGTGTGTTTTCTCTGTGTGTGTGTGAGTGTGTAAAATGGTGTGGTGTGAGCGTGTGTGTGTGTTGTTGCGATCAATTCCTCGCATGGATTAGAGTGATGCCTACGATGGAACGAGTTGTGTCAGGGAGAATCACTGCGTTGTTGCAATTTCACTTAAAAACTTAATTGCACGTTCACATCAGCAGCACATTTTTAATTACATCCCAGTGTTCATGCAGGGGTGGTCCTGATGAAAGTGTGTACAAGGATGGAGGTGAAAAGAGTGTTGGAAACGTTGGTGTGACTAAAGGGAAAAACAGGTCTGATGTTGAATGTTGTCATTGGTTAAACTGTTGGATGAGACTTAGAGGAGAATGGACGGATCTAGATGAAATGATATTACTCCCAGGGAGGAGAGAGTTGTGATTGGCGCAGACATGAATGGACATGTTGGTGAAACCAGTGATGGATTTTAATAAGAGGAGTGGAATGGCCATAGCGATTAGAGAGACAGGTAAGAAGGTACTTGGTATCATCTAGATGGGGAAAACAATGATAAGAAAACCTGGTGATGGAATATTGAAGTGCAGGAAGTTATACAGAGGAAGAGGTTAGCCACAGTGAGAGGACAGAGAGCAGACAGAAATATAAGATGTGTAGGGCAAAGACAAAGGTAGCAAAGACAAAACAAAAAGTGTGAGTGAATTATACAAAAGAGTGGACATAAGGAGGGAGAGAAGGACTTTGATCAACTGGTGAGACAGAGAGATCATGCTGGGAGAACATGTGGGTGGTTAGACTTGTCAAAGATAGAAATATAACGTTCTAATGGACAAGAAGAGTGTGATGGGAAGATGAAAGGAAAACCTTGAGAAGCTAATGAATGAAGACAATAACAAGAAAGAAGACAAGAGGTCAAAGAAACAGTGGACCAGGAAGTGGGAAAGGTCAGTGAGGATGAAGATCAGAAAGATTTGAGGAGATTTAAGAAGGGGAGGTACACGTTTGATATAAAAGAAATTAAATTCAGACACACAGCGAGACAGAGGACGTGTGTGAGAATGAGAGGAAGGTAGGTGGAACGGCGAGGCTACAAGGAGCAYATGTCCCAAAAGTCTTCAAATACTTAGAGTCAACTATCCAGGAACACGGGGTGTGTGGTAAAAAAGTGAAGAAGAGAGTCCAGGGAGGAAGGAGTGGGCGGAGAAAAGTTTGGAGTGATTTGTAACAGGTGACAGCAAAGGTCAAAGGAAATATGTTAGTTATGACACCATGGTGTATGGTTTGGAGACAGACAAAAAGACAGAAGACAGAACTGGAAGTTGCAGATCTGAAGGTATTGAAGTTCTTCTTGGGAGTAACAATGACTACTGGAATGAGATCATCAGAGGTACAGCACAGGTTCTACAACTGGGAGATCAAGTCAGAGAGGACAAATTGAGATGGTTTGGACATGTCCACAGGAGGGACAGTGGGTATATTGATAGAATGATGATAGAGATGCAGCTGCCAGGAAAACTATACAAAGAGGATTCAATTAGAGGACATGGAGGTGGAGTGAGGACAGAGGATTCAGGGGACAGAGTGAGATGGACGATGACTCACTTGCTACTCTATTAAGGTGAGTGGGCGAATTGTATCCAGAATGCAGACACAGAGGACTCGAACAGATAAACTATAAATACTTTCTAAAACAAAATGTGGCAGAAAAACTTACAAAAAGGTAAAGGTGTGAAGGAGATCGAAAAAGATCGAGACATCAGTCAAGGAGTCTAGACACTGAGCTGCTGATACGGTGCAGGCATACTGTCATCCGAACTTAAAAAAACACAATTTTCCCTGTTAATTTCAAGTTCTTCCAGTTGATTATTACAGCAAATACTGTGTTTTTCAACTATGTGTTTCTGCCAGAATAAGTGCCACTAACTAATGACGATTCACAGATTCTGATCATGATGATCACTAACTCAGTTTTTGAACTGTTGGCTAAAAACAAACTGTTTTTCTTTCTGTTCACACGTTACTGTGTTTGTGCTTTACATACATACATATATATATATATATAT